AATATTGTGTTCGAATGATTAGGATTTTAAAAAAAATGAAGAAATGCGTACTGACAGTGCAATGAAAATAGCAACAAATAATTAATATGCTGGTAATAAGAGGCAGTACCACTATAACGTCATCAAAATATAATCAATTGTGATTCACCATTTTAAATTTACATATTGTTTTTTGGTTAAACAAACTTCTACCTTGTTGTTTTGCCTTGTTTTCATGAAACACTGATTTGAGAACAAGTAATTATAGCTGAATCATTTTGCTAGACAGAGAGACACAGCAATTAAGATTGGGAGATAAAAAATGCTAAAAAAGTATTTCGGTGATGACGCATAATAGTTATATTGCGGACACATAGGTAGAACTATGAAATAGACATTAACTGTTATAATTCTACTGAAGCAATAAACGTACAGTGTTTCACCAGGGTAAATCATAATATATCGCCCACCAAAAAAACTCACAATTTCAAATATTCTAGCCAGTGTTTAGTGTTGATAATTTTAACCTGCTGCTTGATTTGAAACAGTGGGGTCATGACCCAACTCATATTTGATATAATGATCACAAACTAAATACAATTATGTTTGACAAATACAACAGGTGAAGCCAAGGGGCTCATAGATCTTCCAATTACTAAGGTCACCTTCCAGCTTTTATAGCATTGCCCCAACGTTCCAGCTTCTATTGATTTTATGAGATACGCCCTCACACACCCACAGCAAATTCCTTCATTCTCGACACACAAGACAATGATGGCGTATGCCATACCTTTGATGGTTCGACCAACCAGCATAACAGGGAAATAAAATTCGTTAACAGTTCGCATCATACTGAGTATAGCCATCGAAACTATGTGCGCGTGCAGTAACCGAAGATACAGTAACGGAGTTATTAGCTGTTATAGTAAAGAAATATATATGTTTGTTTTCCTGTTAATAAAACAACTTACGAAAGATTTTGTCAGAGCAGATCACAAGCTAGTGTCTTAACAGTGAGTGACATTTGATAACAGACATTTGCTAGCTGGTTGGCAAAAACGTAATCAAATGACGTCACAGTACGGCAGCCTATAAACTGAAAGTTGAATTGGTGGAAACACACAGTGTAATCGACTTCTGACACAATAGTAGAATAAATAACCACCAACACATAAATAGAGTTTGAAGACGAAAAAAAAAATCAACTGATCCAAATGTTAAATCAGTTGATTTATTCATTTATTTCCAGGAACTATGTCTGTAACACTATTATTTTGTGGTGTGATCATGATGGCAGTTACATCAATGGCTCAAGATCACCCTGGGAATCCTGTAATGGCACTTGCGTGGATTGTAATGATGTCATGTATGACAATGGAGTATGGCATAATGTATGCACTGAGGATTTCACCTGCCCACTTGAAATAGCAGATATAGAAAATAGAATTATTGGGAAAGACGTTACGTTTAATGCAACATATTATTTCGGGAATGCCGCATTTGTACCTGGTACACGTCACTATGAGTATAACGCAATACTCGCATCACAAATCGACTCCATTAAAAAGAATGATATAGTATGTTAATTTGTATTCTTCTGTCAATTTTGGTTAGCACACTATCAGTGATATAATTTTGCTAATTCAAGTCAAACATTATTGATGATTTGACACAACTAATAAGTAGTATGTTTAGTGAAATATTACTGTTAATGATCATATTTTAATATCGCAGTATGTGCGTGTGTGTGCTGTAGAAACTTAGTGATTTCCGATGGGCCGGTTTCGAATAAATTCAATAAAAAGGAGAGAAATTCATACTACACATTGAACAAATGTTTTTAATATTGTGGCTGAACAAGGTTATTATCATTATGTTCTATGTTAACTAAAAAACATTGTATATATCTACATACATTGTTTACAGGGGACAGACGCTGTGTCAACAGACAATTGTCAACGATGTGAGGTCAATGGAATAGAAGACACATTGGTCCAATGCGTTTGTACAATAGTGGTGAGTATCTTGCGATGATTATTTATATGTCAACATACACTACAAAAAGCAAAAATGCATCAACACAATCGTAGTAGAAATCTGTTAAGCTAGCGCTGGAGTTGGATGTTATGATGGTTTCATTATTGTACAATTTATTTATTTTATTAGTTTAAATATATAATAACATATTTCACACTATATAAACTAAAACCACCCATTACTGTTAGTATTGAAACTACTATGATGGAATGTTTGAATTTGAAATAATAATACTACCGGAAATAATGCCAAAAGTCATTTACAATATGACTGATTTATGTGGTCGTATAGTCGTATATATTTGTTATTGCGTTTCAAAATATTCTCCTCTGATTCCTTAAATCAATGTAATTTTTCGTTCACATATAGGATTGCCCATCAGCCATCGCCGAGGAAATCGAGTTAAAATCGTCACTTCCTGAAAATACATCATCACGTGATAGAATGTGTTTGATTCGCAAAGATGATATGTATACCATCTATACGTGCCAATACTACTCGGATGATCCTGATATGACTGAGCATGTGATTCAAGCTAGTACATAGAATGATGAGAATTAAATATCTTTATGCCAGTTATGAATAGTTAAATATTTTCAATTGCGTAGTATGTGACAACTTTTTTACTGTCGATCACGTGTGTAATTTGTATTCATGATATATGACATGTACGCAACTCTAAATAAAATGAACCGATGAAGTTTGAAATAGAGGTTTTCGTATATATCGTAAATAAATGCTGGACATAATGTTGTTCAACCCGATATAATACAGTTCTTCCATATTTATGTCTTGTGCGTCGTACACTTTAGCATACTGCACATGTAAGCTGAAATAGAACATAGGTTAAGACTTATTGGGAATAGTGTTGTAATATATGTATCAGGCGAGTGGAATTAAAACACCGATTCTCTAATATTGAATTGCGCTAATATGTAGTCATAGTCATACATCAGAAAACTAAATTCACTCTGGCAGTATATAAATGTTATTTATTGTCCTAGATTAAATTTACTAATACTACTAATTTACTAATCTTTCTAATAGCATGCACGGGAAATAATAACCTTCATGTATCGGGGTACAGGTAACGGATATATTTCTCGTCAACTTCATTTGTCGATAACCGTGTTATAATATTAGGTTATTGCGAGAATACCTCAAAGTATGCACGAAGCGAGTACAGCTGGAGTATCGACCGACGCGCATATTTTGAGTTATTCTCTTAATAACCTTATTATTATACAACTTTTCCTTCCAAGGATACATCATGGGAATGCCGAAATCCAACAAGTTTAGAATCAGCGAACTTCTTTGTGTGGAGTCCGGGCAAACCCATATGGCAGCCATGTTTGTTTTTATTATTAGAGGATGCTTACGCGCGTAATCATTCCATATTTGGAATTCGCATTTCCTTATATGGTAGGATGAAAATACCCCGTAAAGTACCGTAAAATTACGGCACGCTGTAATTTATGACGTTATGATGACTGATATATAATAAATGATGTTATTATATATTGCATCTTTAGCAATTGTCAATTCTGACGTGGATTTCGTCATATTGATTTGTTGCGTTGCTGTAGGAATAGTATGCGATGTCCATGTGAATACAAAAGAAACAGTTCACAATCTTCATATGGATGTAGATGTAGTAGGTGACAGTCTCCATATACAAAATACTAGAATTTTTTCACAATGTAGAGGTAAGTGTGTGATATAAAATCCCATATAAATAGATGTGTATTAGTTTGGCAACCTCATCTACATACAAGGGTAGTGGTTTACAGAATTGAACGTGCAGCTGTCTCAATAAAAATACATATGTACATTACATTGTACAATTACATAGACACAGGTTTAGTAGTTTACAATCTGTTTGTGAATACAACTGAAGTGGCTCTCATGTAATTTAAAGTGTAGTGGTTTACAATCTGCATTAGAATACAGGCATAATGCAAAGCGATATCAAATAAAGACTGCTCGGACTAATACATATAATATATCGTAGATAAAAAATTGTAATTTTTATCCTAGAAAACTATTCAAGATAACTGGACGTTTTGGCTAGTGGCTTTTTGTTGGCAGCAGAGAAAAAATATTGAAATCAACATTTTTATGTACTACCAAAGAAGAGCTGATGTTCGAAACGTTTTGAATAGTTACCTAGAAAAACAATTGCATATATTTATACATACATATATTTCTCCTAACTGCATATTCTCTTAAAATCATCAAACCTGTAATGTAATACACAGGTAAACAATTGGGCAACCGAGTGTATATATTGCAAGTTGGTAAGACCATTTAGCGACAACCGCTGAGCTGTGGACACAGACGATCAATCTTCGTTTTACTAATGGTTGGAGTCAGACAGCCACATAGGGCAACTACAATATTTAATTGGCAGTTAAAAGACGTACTATATATGCGAGTTATCTCCGAAAAATTAATTAAATACCACTTAAGAAAGAAGCGACGTCAAATATCTGCTTTGTTTACCCAGCTCGATTTATTATTTATAATAGTTATTTTATGTTAGACAGGAAACCAAACCCTAGTGTATTCCAGGCTTATTATTTTCAGTTTGAAATGAATAACTTGGGCGTTCATTGGGTTTTTAAATGTCTGATTTGATGTGGGCAGTCCGCGGGGTCAATTTTGCAATGCTGTCGCACATATCTTGGCCCAAATAACAAACGTCCCCCGAATAATTATTCATGCAATTATTATGACGACTCTCATAATACATCAATGCTCTATTTCATAGTGCTTTTTCTATGCTGGATTTGTGTCGTCTACACTATTACAGTATTTCACTATACAGCACTCTACACTGTGACTGTTACTGTGTGTGTACGGAATGTTATACAGCTAGCAGCAAGTCCGTCGGTCATATAATAGCACAGTTTTGTTTGGGATATTTCAATATATTCATCTTATAGTCAATAGATCAAACAGTGCCGCCATATGAATAAACCCTAATTGAATTGATCAGTGCTGATAAAATTAAATATCTCAACGTTCATGTTTCAGTTTGCCTAACTGTGAAGAAATTGTTTATAATTTTATTACACATTTCGTTGCTGGCAAGTTACGACCCAATGTTTCAATGGAGGATTCATACTTAAAGAATTTTCAGAAAATTATTCAGCCCTAATCGACCGATTCTCATACATTTGCTATGCCGCCAGTCACATGTCAGTTCGTGAAAGACCAACTGTTCCAATTTACTGTTCCATGTCAGCTATCCTTGAAAAATACATTCTCTAAACTGTTTTGTATTTCTGCATTTTTCATTTGTCAAAGTATTGCATATTTGTTCTACCTCTGTACTTCATCCCGTATTTATCCGGACATGTTTAATGATGCCAACATTATTCCGTTGCACATAATTGGATTATATGAGCTAAGTAATTTTCGTTCAATTTCGTTACTTAAGTTAATTTCAAAAATCGTCGACAAAAAACGTGCATGATAACGTATACCATTATTTGAATAGTCATGATTTAATTTCTAAATTGCAGAAAGTTTTTCAAAAATCACTTTTCTGTCATACAGCTAAGATCAAGCTATGTGATGCATTGTCTAGCAATATATATGATAGCTTATTGAGTTATTTGCTTTTTCTTGACCAGAGCAGGGCGTTTGATTTGTTAAAACGCGTGTCATTGAGTTACTTTCAATTTATGGCATTCTTTAGTTTGCTATATTGGTTTAGTTCTTTTTTCATCTGCCAGAAAGCAAGTTGTGTATTTACTGGGTAAACTGTCAGATGCTGTTAATACTGCAGTATTTCGCAGTAATAATAATCAATACCACATATAATAAAACATTATTATTACGTCGGCTAAAGTACCAAATATACGACATTGGTATTCAGGAAATGTATTAATTTCGAACAGAAATATAGATAAAGGGCGTTGCTGAGCAAGTATCTGAGCAAGTACTGGTTTCACATCGCTTCTGTAAATTGTCTATTTTATCACGACTGTCTTGTCTATTTCACTACCAAAATAAGATGCATTGATTGCAGAACTACAGAACTAAATCAGACCCCCTAGCATGCCGCCAAGTAACTGCTAACTTCAGCTCGTCTCTACTGCTGCGATGTATGTATGGTAAGGAAGTGTCCGATAACACCTGTCTCTATACAGTGATTAACAAACATTATAGAATGGATCAAGGCGTAAAAACTCGGTCAAATACCTCTAAAACGAAGATAGAATCATCCGGTAAGCCGCTAAAAGAGAATAATGAACCAACGTGCACCCAAGATGGCGTCACCTGCACTACACAACGTGGTGAGTTGGCCTCTGTTACTGGGTTTTTTTGTCCAAGCACACTAAATACAGGGAGGAACCAAGCACTTCCAAGTAATTTAAATAATATGTCGCAGGATGAAAAGTTGAACTTTATTATAGGAATACTATGGCCTCTAACGAAAAAGGTCACGAATTTTTAAAAGAATATCGAGTCCTACGACAAACGTATTTCAGACCTGGAGTCTGGGTCAAAAAATTCGCAGTCTGATACTGAAATACTTGTGAATGATATGAACGAACTCAGGAAGGAAGTAGATTTGTTATCCAACAGAATGCGCAGGAATAATGTGGTTTTATTTAACATTCCTGAAAAAATGGAACACGAATCGCAATCTTTGGCCGACTTTGTGATAAATAAACTACTGGTGACGAGCTCGGAATCGTCGAAGCAAAAGATTGGAAGATTGATTTAATACACCGTACTCCACCGGGCCCACCCGGGGTATTATGAAGATTATAAAAAAAACGCGATAGAGTTTCAATGCTAAAAATGGTACCACGTCAATTGAAAGAAACGACAGTAAAATGGAAAGGCCAAACGGTAAATATGGTGGTGTCCGATGATGTCACTGGGCAAGTTTGTGGACAACGAAATGAGCTTCTAATGCTGAAGAAAGTGTTCAAGATTAAATTTCCTGATAGGAAAATATTTATTCCACCGCAGGTCCCCGCGATACTGCTATATGAAGGCGAGGATGGTAAACTGGTGCGCATCAAATATGGCGAGAAACCACCATGGTAATCAGATATTGAAGGGACTGATTCACAAATTACGAAAGTTGTTACTATGAAGGTCACAGGTCAAATAGTAGACACAAGAAACGATTGATTTGGCACAGCAGAGTCGGTCCAAGTTCCCAGGGACTTTTCTCTTTCTTTTTTTACTATGGTCAGTAAGGTCGGTGTGTATTTCTGGCATGTTTTTACATCCACTACCATGATGGTGGGTGTTTTGGTCGTGTTTTGATGAGATGTGGGACGTTTTTCATATTTGGAATTATGGCTGATTTTTCTTTCGGCCTCCTATCGCTAAATGTAAGGGGTATTAGGAACAACTTAAAAAGGAAAAAAAATTATAGATTGAGTGAAACGAAAAAGTAACGAGATAATATTGCTACGTATTGTACTAAAGATATGGAGGAACGGGTTTCAAAACAATGGAACGGCAAAATTTATTATTCCCATGGTTCATCACACAGTAAAGGAGTGTGTATTATGATTAAATAAATAATAATTTTGATTTCAAGTAGAATAATATACTGTCAGATGAAGAAGGCAGATTTTTGTGCTTGAATATAACCTTTGAAGATTTACAAATATGAATTTACAATA